AGATGCGTTTTTGTGCACTACCCGCTTTAGCTATGTTTATGAAATATAAGTGCGTAACCGATAACGGGCTCTACGGCTTCGAGAGTGTGGGGCGCTTTTCCTGCTCAATTATAAATGTCAGTATCTGACATCTCGACTACACTTCCTCGGCGTGGTAGGCTTTTAAAAATAAACGAGTAGGTATTTATAGTGAGAGAAGCAGACTAAGTGACATGATGCGGGAGTCCATCGTCCTGTGTTAGCCTCAGCTGACTAGCGGTGCTTACGGGCCGGTTCACGCTTCTTTCAGCCCTTACTCGCTCGGATGGAAAGCGACATAAAAGGGTAACTTCGTTACTAAGAAAAAAGAAAAAGTCAAGGCAAACTGGAGGGGATTCAGTCGACGGTTCAGCAATCAGCAGCTAACTTCACTTGCCTAAAGTGTTCTCAGTTCAAATAAAATACGATGGCGTAAACTGGATATGCTAAGACATGTTAAAGTATTCAATTAGTTTACTTAATGACTTTTGCAGATTTCAAAAATGAACTACACAAAATATGTTGATTAAAACACTTTGACGTTAAATAATTAAACATGGAGTAATTGGCGATGCGGTTTGCCCGAAAACCATTGAATTAAAATGGCGTCTAACTAACCTCATGTCAATGGAGCCGTTGTTTCTACCAATTTATTTAGACTAATCTGATACACTGCCGTATCGTAGTAGGCATTTTCAGAGCCTACATGGCGCGTAGGTATACAAAGCAAATGGCGATGTCCACTGCTCCTATACGAATTTTCACACACACGCATAGGCTAGTCAGTTTTACCGCACACTGACGTTCGTATAAAATTTATGGCGCACACTTTTGCAGTCCGGCTATAGAGGCGTAGATCTGCGAAGGGGGATGGAGCTGGTCAGCCATTTCGTGTCGACGAGATTTATAACCTCTCTGTGCGTGCGCTAACTTTAGTAAGATTGTACGGTTGCAACTGACACAGCGTTTTCCTATTTGCTATTGCCATTCATCTCTGTTACTACAGATAGTATATTTATACGTTTCAGCTTAAATATTTCATGACAGTTACATTTCTTTCCTCGTGGCTTCATCGCTTTTCGCGCTATTGCGTAATCGGTCATTTGAATTCGAAAAAAGAATTACGTTCAAAAACCCTATACGAATTTCAGGTGAATTTATCAATTTAAAATTAAAAGTCTCTCCGGTAATACACTGGACGCATTATTTCAAAATGCACGTTAGTGGGGAGGCAGGGTGGCGGCGGGTCAGCCTGTTTGTCTATCGCTGCGTTTCCCACTCAACGGGTGAATTTTCCGAAGCCCATTGCGCTTCCGCCCCCCTCCCCCTTTTAAGCTCTTCTTTATTTTTATTAACGAAATTATAGCGTCTGAATGGTTGGCTACTTATATTGATTAGGTTGCTTGTGCCCGTTAGTTAGACCATGAGGTTCATATTACGTCTAGTTGCTCGATGTATACAGACTTTATCGTTACTTTTAGTTTCTTCCTTTTTATCATTATTGACAACACTGTTTGTTATTGACAGAAGCAAAATTGAAGAAGCAATTGATGAAATTTTTTAATAATTTCGAAACAGAACTCATTTGTATTATTAAGAAAGCTTTAGATTTAATTCAAAATAATGAAACAAAAAACGATTCAAGTTTTGTTTAGAGAAAGGTATAACAAATTCTAGGAAATATTTATTTGCCTACATTAGTGTTACAGGAAATGATTCATAAAATAACAAGAATATCCGAACAAACGATGCGGTATCGAGGGGCGTTCAGAACACGAGCTCAATCGCCTCACACGTCAAGTCTTATCGGAGGCGAAAAGTTGGGCTAGACAGTCGGCGAAATTATATATTTGAATGTAGTGTACGTGTGGCGCACTATAAGTTTACGGAATGAATAAAGAAAAAAATACTATAAATGGTCAGAAATGAATTTATTGTTTCTCAAAATATTCTTCGTTAGCGTTAATGCATATTTTCATACGAATGAATCAATTTTGAATACATTTATGCCACTTCTACGTGACAAACTCTGAAACATATTTTTCATGCTCTTCGACAGCGTCTTCAGGTGATGAAAATCGTTGATCGCGTAACTGGTTCTTAATTTTTGGAAATAAATAAAAGTTACAAGGTCGGGACTACGCGGGATGGCTCATAAGGTCAACGTTGATCACCTACAAAAATTCATTTGTTTGTCTGGCCGTGTGAAAACTGGCATTATCGTGTTGCAAGATGATACGGCGTTTACGGTTATTTTTGCGGAGTTTGTCAATAACTTCGGGCAAACAAATGGTCGTATACCAATCACTATGCACGGAACAACGATTCTCAAAAGCAACAGTAGCCACGTGTCCAGTTTTATTAAAAAAAGAAGCAATCATCCGCTTAGAGGCACTTTGAACGCGCGCTACTTTGGTTGGTTTCGGCTCATTTCGAAAGACCCATACGCTCGATTGCTGCTTTATTTTGGGATCGTAACTATAAATCCATATTTCATCGCCTGTTACTATGTCCCAGACCAATTTTGACACCCCGTCGTTGAATCTGGTAAGCATGGCGATGTTTTTGTTGTTCACAGCAGTGAATGGGCGACCATCGCGAAATTCGTCACTGAGATTCACACGACCGCGTTTGAATTCTGCAAACCAGCTATAAATAGTCATCTTGCATGGTACTTCATCGCCAAAAGCAGTTTGAAGCCGAGCGAAGCTCCGCTGAGCTGTTAAGTTACACTTAAAGTCGTAGAAAATCATAATACCAAAATTTTTACGAGTTAAATCCATGGTGATGTAGACAACCAATTTCTAAAATGACGCCATGATGTAAAAACAAGTAACAGTCAGATGAAACAAACTGTATTCTGCAGCCACAGAGTTCCATTTTCAAGTGTTGTAATTACTTTTTAAATAATGTTTATGTAAATGCCCCCAGTTCCGAAAACTTATAATGTGCCCTATGTAGTTATCTTAAACTTTGGATGAACATTTCACAATTATGAAGAATGTTAGGGCTCACATGTGATTTAAAAACGTAAAAACATCGTCACGCTAATAATTTCAAATTTCTACGTAGGAAACTAGTAAAACATAAGCCACCTATTTGTAGAAACTACTGTATTGAAATGCATAAAGGGAAGCATCGTTCAATAAATATCTGGCTTGAAAATAAAGTATTAAATTCAGGAAAGTATCGAAAGTTTTCCAATTCCCTCCGCATTTGCGACTGTTTGAGCCATGCATTGATAACAGATAGCATCGCGTTCGGTATTCAAAACTACGTTTCTTGATTAATGCGCTTTATCGGCTCATTCGATGTTGGGATTTCGAAATTCAAATTCTTCTACTTTAATTTTCAACCAGGCATGGGTATTATCACATGTAGCCATTCGATGTGTTATTAAAAAAAAGTTTCTTTAATAATCCTCAGCTTAAAATAGGAGGTTTTTAAATTCTATGACAAGTCAACAGTTTACGGTTGGTTTCGAAAATTCCCCCGTTCAAATATTCACAACTTTTCGAACGAGGGGAATGAAAAACTGGCCGACAGAATTTGGTTATGCATAGGTACAGTCTGCGTTTATAAGCTTTGTGTAGGGAAAATATTATTCTGTACAGTGCTCCTGGCGTTTTTGTGTGTGCTCTTTGTTTTATGGGAAAAGTGTAGTCAAGTCTATAAATCAATCATTGGACAATATTTATACTGTTTGTTTATTGAAACTAACAAAAACAATAACCATACTGTGATTACTATCTCTAGATCCATAATCAGGTCACTGAGGCTCAGTCATTGCATTTATAGTCTGCAAATAATATTTTCATAAAGAAGAAGATTGCCGAAAGAAAAAAGAGATTTGTTAAACATTTGTTTCAGTTTTCCGAGTGAATTTAAATTCAGTAATATTAACACATTTTTACAAATAGATTTTCAAATCCTCAGACTTTCATAGCTTGTATGTACAGATCTACAAATTCATCATGAAACCAGCCCGACAGCCATAGATACATATTTAGACATAGACAAAAGACCTGAGGCAAAGTGATGCCGTGGGTCTGATTATTTGAAAATTCATGCGTCGTCCACCCCTGTCAGGCCACAGACAAAATACGGGCATGGACGAAATTCGTCCGGTTTTATGCCGCTGCTAGCCGGGTGAAGCCTGTACATACTGTTTTATATCTAACTAGGTGCATGAACTATATTCTTTTACCTAAAGGTGTAGTAGTAATTATTTAGGTTAGTCTTCTTGAGAAGGCATCCCCTACCAGAAGAAGGATCTTCTGATCAGGTTGAACTATGTCCGGATATTTTTAAGCCACGAAGTATGTCTTCTTCCAGATGGTCGTTTCCCCTGGATTTTTCCTTGCATAATTAATTGGAGCAGGTCGTATTTATCATTACGCATTATGTGACCAAAGTACTGTAGCTGGAATTTTTTAACCATCACCATCTGCAATACTCTTTCATTGGATATTCTATCTGTCCACGATATTTTTAAAATTCTTCTGTATCCCACATCGAATGCTTCTAAGCGATTGTTCATATTTTGAGTTATTGTCCTGGACTCTACGCCATACAGAAGATCTGAAAACACATAGCAACGTGCCAAAGGCACCCTGGTAGAGAGTTTCAAGGATTAATTGCCGAGTAGATCTCTCAACTTCAGAAATGTATTGCGCGCTTATTCTATCCGACACTTCATCGTTATTAAACTGATATAATTATTAACACAAAGAAAAATTACTCCGATCTGACAAAACTTGAACCTGCGTCTGTATGCTAAACTAGAGCCACCGATCTGCCAACTGAGCTACAGCTCGAATCAGCAGACGTTACAATTTTGTTTATGTATTTGTCACAGATATTTTGTAATGGGATTTTTCGCGTTTTATCGTTGTAACGTAATATGAGTAAATAAAATAAATATATATCTAAAATGTCTTGGAAAGTTGTTAGTTTACTTAATAACTAATAGTTAATCTTACCATAAGTAGTTTTTAGCACTTATCCGGTCCAAAAGATGCCCGTGGCCTCCGATCGATCTGCAAAACAGAAATTAAGACTTTAACAAAAAATAGTTGATACTACCTTGGAAAAGCTCTGAGTAGCACTGCAGTTACCATGGACAGGCTTGTCGCTTACCACCAAGCGCATGAATTGTTCGTCCTCTCGCTTGGTATTATATAAAAAAACATTATGCGTCCCATTGCTGTGCACGGGTCTCCTCTATAAAAAGACTTTCGGCAACAGTCTGCCGCGTTGACTCAATGCATCTAGGCAACTCTTTGTGAAAGTGTTCGTCCAGGGAAGTACTGTTACCTTATCTATTTTTGCCGCCAAGCGGTATTGTGAGCTTTACTGTGTTCCGGTTTTGAAGGGTAAGGTGGGGTAAGAAGGGTGATGGTGAAATTACAGGCAATTGGGACTTGTCAACTTATGCATCAGGGTGACAGGCGCAGTGGCTGTGCGTCTCAGATCTTTGCGGACAGATGGGTAACGACACGTAACGTACGTACGTGGTAAGCGTACCACTTCGCACACACGACTTGTCGTTCCGTCATTTGGTATCATAAAAAAATTTATAATTCACTTGTCTCGGAAACTCAACAGGTTGGTTGGTTACATCCTTTCTACCCCGCAGCATCGATAATATCCTGAAATATCGATAATGTTTTGAACCTGCAATAGTGACTTGCCTGACAAGGTACATTAAACACCATTGTCGCCAGCTAGCGAAAATTAAAAAATCCCTCTATTCTTGGGTTCGAAAGTGGAAATGAAAGTGTGACAAAAACAGAGGCTAGACTATTGAAGAAACATTACAGTCCAAGATTTGGGGCACTATGACCAATTAGACGCCTTAGCCTGTCCCGGAGGACGAAAAATTTTACTATGGTATGTGACAAACACGTTTTGTCACTGTAAAACATTTTGAAAAAAACATTTTGAATTTTCAATCACTCACATCAACATAAAGGATGAATATATCTTATGATGAATATCCATGATTTATTTTCTATTTTAAATCCCAATTAATTTTCGATAATAAAATGGATAAAATGCCACGAATTCACACCTTCTCAACTTCACCCTACGAATCTATATTATTGATAAGCTACTTGGCTCACGATATCGATCAATACGGGTAGCCACGTGCGAGACCACCCGGCGGCGGCGCGTGCGCTCAAAATTAGTATTTTTTTATTTCTTGCGACTAGCTGGTTGTAAGATCTTACCACTATGAGAGTTTTCATTAATTTGTGGAAGTCAAATTAATTCTTCCCGAAAGAAAAACTGTATGAAGCCAACTCTTGGCAAGCACAGAGACGTACTTGACATTACATTAACAATAAGTACTATTACAAGTAGTAGGCCGTAGGACTTTGAAAGAAGTCATTACAATATTGTTTATAGAAACGACAAATTCGAATCAAGTCAAGAATCCAATCAAGAATCAATTTTAAATGCACTTTACGTAGTTCTATAAAATATATGACAGATTATAGTTACACTTGTAGGTAAACACGTTGACGGAATTTAAATATTTTTTATAATTTACGCTGAATATTATTATTATTATTATTATTATGTATTATTATTATTAGTTATTATTAAGTGACGAGACGAATAAGTCATGCGCCTAATGGTAAGCTACACGCCTTTATTTATTTCCAACTTACAGATATCATTACAGGTTGTACCTAATGCGACAGTGTGGGCAACAAGTTTTACTTAAGGACTTTTGGCTTGAATAATAGTAAACTGAATAACTATTTAATTATTATTATTATTGAAATAAAACACCCATAAAACCGCTTTTACGAATTCGATCAATAAGCAACAGAATATAACCACGAAACCAGTGACAGCATGTACCTTACGCAACGTTCGGGTAAAGGACGCTTTTTTTAACAAGTTCATGCACGACTATATGAAACAGTGTTCCTGGTCATACAAATTATATTTCCTGCGCATAGATTCTCAAAAGATACCCGTAATACGTATGTAAATAAAAATGCCCGATCTTCAAAAATCGCAAGATGTTAAAACCAGATGTCAACAGGGCGTACGCATACGCAGACCACGCTTTCATTGATCGGTTTTATGATACTTTATTGCAGTTTAAGGCCATTGAAGGGCCTAATTGTCAGGTAAAGGAAGCTCTTGAGGACCGGAAGCAATTTATATGCCCAAGAGTAATTGATTTTCGTGGGGATTTTTGGGATATTACAATGTAATTTATAATAGTACCGACTTGTTTAATAAGAGCATTGCTGCTGAACAGCTAAATATTTCTATAATATTATTGGAAATTGTCCAAACGATGTTAAACATAAAGGTAAGATCATACGTATCATAATTTCTAATAAATGTCTGAATAAAATTACTTTTGAAGATGATTTTAGTAGAAGTAGAGCTCCTTGTGTAAGATATCGTCTAACGTCAAAATTAAGGTACAAAATTTGTTGCAGTTACGTACGATTACAGAGAATCTCCTCTCAACCCTCTTTTGAATTATAAAACATCACTGCAAAGCATTCTTTTTTTTAAATTCTTTTTAATTTTTTAGTCACATCACGTTTTATGTGTGTTAATATTTTTGTTCTTACTGTAACTTATTGTTTTTCGTTCTTTTAATTTAATTTAAAAAATATATTAAATACATTTTGTTTTTTCTTTTAATTTGTTATACAGGTCTAATTCTTGTTTTTCACTTCAATTTTATTTTGTTTAAGTAGGAAGTGTTACACCGTCCGTTTAACATTTTTGTTGCCATTGTGTGTCGAGTAACTCTAACTCTTGAATCACAGGTTATCATCTAGTTCAGGGGTGGAATGTATCGCCACCTATTTAGATACTGCTGTACAAAACCTGTTTAATTATAATCTACGTAACATGTTGTATTTTTATGTACAATAAATTATTATTATTAATTCTGAGGTGAGTTGCGTAAGGAAGTACTGCCCAACCTTAGCTATTTCTGCCGTCAAGCAGTAATGTGAGCATTACTGCGTTCAGATTTTAAATGGTAAGGATGCTGGTGAAATTACAGGACCATGTGACTTGTTAGCTTATATCCCAGTGTCGGGTGCAGTGGCACCTCAGATTTTTGTGATTTAAACCTCTGAATGGCGTTGCAAAAGTGTCGTATAAAACCAGGCGCATGACTTGTTCGTCCCGTCACTTGATACTTATTATTACATAAAAAGATGCTAAAATTGTACTCCTCAAGGTTTTAAAAAAGTCTCGTATTCAGAAGTAAGCGTATTATTTCAGTTCCTTTACAGATTTTTTAATGACCCCAATGTGATAAATTTTATCGGCGAATTTGAAAATCGAGTTAAAGAGCCGTTCTTATACATCTATAAAACTTTTTAATTTCTTCTCGAGAATCGCGTAAACCTCGCCCATACGACAGGCCATTAATTTTCAACAATGATCTACGTGCCGTACTGCTTGCATTGTGGATCAACAATTTGCACAAGTTATTGACAAATACTTTTTTTTTTTCACAAAAAAAAACAGATGTTCGAGTACACGTTCTTTGGGATTTGACTTCTCGTTCTTTTACCATTATCTTGTTAACTGTGGTCATGTCCTTAAAATAGTTAGGTAAATTGTTGTCTGCAGATAAAGTTAAATTAATTTCTTTTGTTACAATGCCAATTGACGTGGCAAACTGGTGTTAAGCATGGTGTTCTTAGCAGTTGCAGTGTCACGCAGAGATTCAAATTCAAAAGATCTATGGGCACTGCCACCGCGCTCGTCACTCTGAGACATAAGTTGACAAGTCTCAAGTGCCTGTAATTTCCCCATCACCCTTACTTACCCTTCCAAACCGGAACGCAGTAATACTCACGTTACTGTTTGGCGGCAGAAATATAAATGAGAAGAAAAATATACATATATATATATATATATATATATATATATATATATACACATATGCATAAGGTACGTACATATATCTATTATTTAGACTTACATAAAAGTCTACCTTCAGATTGCCATAATTATCATTAATCAATGATATTTTCATTACATCCTATTTTCATGCCTTACTAGTATTTAAATAAACTTCAAATCGTTTTCACTTCACACTCTGAGAACCGGAAAAGAATTGTCACAAAGACTTTCAAGCGGTACATTAATATTTATTCGCCACATGCGGGCGACAAAAATCGAAAGAATTCTTAAGCCCCTTTGCCACAATGGACCAGGGAATTGGTCTACTTGGCCCAAATTACCACTATACTTGTCCCGCATCTTTGGCCCCCCGGTGTGAGATACACAAATTAACTGTTCGTTTTTTTGCATAAGACGACTGAGGCAGGAAGTTATCAATAACGTAGTTACAACCTCTTAACCTCTTTAATGTAAAAACAATGACAAATCGAATGACTGATAAATACCAAATTGTAAAAGCGACGTCATTATATTTAAAGTAAAATGCCTTACAAGACTTTTATCAAGTCTTGTAACACAAAATTACAGGTTACTTGAAACTATAATAATATATTGAATACCCATTCATATTTAAATTGAACAAGTATCAAAACGCAACCTGTCAAAACATACGTATCATGACATTAGGATACGTTCACACGCCCACTTGTAAGAAATGACGTCGGCGGAAGTGACGCAAAGGAGGTCGTCGCGTCTTGAATGGGGCACGCACACATTGTTACGCGTGCAGACAGTGTCTTGAGTTAGTTTGCGTGCATGAATGAACGTACGCTGTTTACGTCGTGATTGTGTTGTCCCGTCTCGACTATTGAGATTGACATGTCATACCAACTAGTGGGCAAACAACGGATAGACGGTTCATGTCCTTAATTGAACGTCTGTTACTGTTCCGGACGAATTAAAATTGTCGTATTTTCAAAACCAACAGTACAAATGTGACTACGGATATTTTCGACGTCATAAGGTCTCACTTCACTAAGCCTAGAACAATTACAGTTGAAAAACCGTTCGTCATTTCCGAATTTTAATGAGAGAACACGTTACGATGAGTGACAGGGGCATTGGACCCTGTGCT